AAAATAACAAGCAGGCCCCAAGGACTGAATTGAAAATTCTAAAAACCTTACAAATTACAGATTCACCCCAGTGGCAAAATTGTAATAAACCAAGTTTATGAAATTGCAAATTCAACCCTGAAATATGTCAAATTTTCGTACACATGTCCCTGGCCCAAAACCCTACTTTCAGCACCCGTCTCTTGCACGCAAATCGTGCAGGTGCCCGTGGTGGTCGACCTCCGGGCAGCCAACGCCGCCCCAGGCGGTCTTCGTCTCGCCGGATTCCTCCCAGGCGCTCAAAACGTCATTTTTTTTTTTATCGCAAGTCCGCCATTAAAGGCGGACACGAGCTCGAAGCTCGAATTTCCGGCGGCCAGCCTCTGCAGCGACAATCGCCGGCAGCAACCTTGTGGTATAGGATAGCAGATCGGAAAACGGGGCGAGAAGGGTCGTACGGGTGAGAGTGATCGAAAATCCAATTCCCAGATTTTTTTTTTATAAAGCCGTTCAGCGGAGGCCCAAGGCCGTGCAATTCCAGCGGCCATCACGACGACGCCGAGCGCCGACAGCGGCGGGAGGGACGAGGACAGAAGATCGGAGGCGAGAGATGGGCGACGGTAAATCCGAGATTTTATGAACAGACCCAAATTCAATTCTCGAATTTTTGCAGATTACGAACAATTGAGTTAATTCCAAGTTAATTTGAAGTTGTTCGAAAATCAAATTCGGAGATTCTGAAGTTGTTCGTAACCGACAAAGCCAAACCCAATCCCAGATTTGCAGGTTCGGTTCGAAATTGTTCAACCCAGCAAACCAAAATTCAACATTAAAACAATTTTAATTACAGATTTGTGAGCAGATTTTCGTTCGAACAGAACCAAAAGATTCCAATCTTAAATCCCAGATTTGAAACGAACAAATTCAACAACAACCCAAAATCTTAACGAAAATTAATTCTAAATTAATTATCATGATTAACATATATTTTGATCCATGTAAATCCAATTCAAAACAAATAGCTATGAACACCGACCCGGTTCTCTTATACCACTGTTGGATTTGTGTCGTACGAATCAATCGCACACGCAGCGGAATTTTAAAATTTTCTTACCAACAAGAAGATCCAGTTGTAGCTATTCGATTTTGATCCTAGATCGCGAGAACTTACAGTTTAAGCTTTGTCTTCAACTATGGTATCCACGCAATCTAGATCCCGGTGCACGATCCAACATAGTGAATCCTTTCTGGTGAAGACGCTAGGAATCCTCAGTCAGAAAGCAAGAAGGAGAATTTATGTTTTGCGGCGTATCTCAATTATCTGATGTCTTACCACTGATAAAGAGATACCCACCTATTTATAATTAGGCTAAACCTAATTATGTGGGCTTTAGGACAACCTATAGCCCAATAGGTAATTGGACCTAATCCAATTAATGATTTAATTAAGTCTAAGTCCAATTTAAACTTAATTATATATTTTCTATCTAATAGAAAATAATCTCATTACTAAAATTAAATATTCCAATCTAATTAAATATTTAACACACTCGATTCACTCTTAGCCGGAAAATAGATTGCATATTGTGTGACCCTATAGGCCTTCATATATTGACAT